GTGGCAGACCTAACGCCCCAAGCCCTGAGGTTCCAGTTGCCTCTGATTCTTAGGCACAGAAACGTTCAAAATAATAGTATTTCGATTATTATATATTCGATATAATGTAAATTTTAGCAGACCTCTTTTAGAAAAAAAAAACATTAATTCAAATAATTTTTGGTTCTGATTCTGTTTAGAATTATACTTTTTTAAGACAATATTTTTTTTATTACATCAGGAAATTAATTAATGTGCGGTTTGAATTTACCAAAATCAACTATGCAAATATAATATATTAATTACATTCTTTTATTTATTTAGTTAAAATGTATGTAACAAATAAAAGGAAGAGTTTCCGACCTTATAAATATATTTTTGATCAGGATCAATCCATATGAATGTCGAAATCTCGATAAATTATTTCAGAAGTTATTTGCTAAAATGTAACAGTAGGGCAAATGGGGCACATTTAAAAACAACATTTTTTTTTTCAAATTAAGTAACGAGTATCTTATAGTCAAGCCTCTCGAATACAGCGTTGCTTCTGTTTTTTTTATTAGTAATCAGATTTTCAGAATATAGTATTAAGAATAAATAAATTAAATTATGCCAATAAAATTTTTGTAATGGTTTAATATTAATATTAATATTAATATTAATATTAATATTAATATTAATATTAATATATTTAGCGTATGAAACGCCTGTGAAAAAATTTGGTTAAAATAAAAATGAATAGGAAAATTTGTTGTCTCATTTCAGTAATTAAATAATTTGTAAGACTAAGAATTTCGGAAGGATAATGAATAACGATACCATATAAGAACAATGCTTGCTAATGATTTTCCCGTATATGTAGATGTGTAGTTGGCTGCTGCAAGTGTGCTCGTACATACACACGCACGGTGGGCACGCATTTCCGTCACCGCCAACCGTTTCCGGCCGCTCAGTGCACTTTGACTTGGCAACCAGTTCCCTTGGAAGCCAGGACCAAACCAGATCCCTTCCTTCGCTGTTTGCCTGGCTTTTGTGCGTCCTGCTCGTCCTGTTCGTCCTGTTCGTCCTGGGTCGTGTAATTTTATGACTAATTAGTCAGCTAGTACGTCAAGTTGGTAACTACATAAAAACCGAAGCGACGACTCCGTTTAGCGTAAGTCCATTACCAGAGTGCGGCGTCGATCGTTGGGCGTGGCCATTTATTTGCCATGCTGCGCTTTTAATTGCTTGCAAGCAATTTCTTCGGCTTTTTTATGGCATGTCTCGGCAGCCATTACAGCAACAGCAACCGCAACAGCAGCAGCAGCAGCAACATTTGCAGCAGCAACTGCAGCAGCCTCCGTGTGTCTACAAAGTTGAGTTGCAGTTTTAGTTGGCTGCTGTCGGGCTGTCGGGCTGTTTTGTTTTGCTTTGTTTTATTTTGCTTTGCTTTTCTTTGTTGCCCGCTTTTCGCATTCTTTGTTCTTACTTGGCTTTGTGTAATTTTGCATCATAAAACACAAACAGCAAAATGCCCAGACCAAGAAACCCATTCCCTGATGCTGCATCGTGGTTGCTTTTAGCTGACTTTAAAGTAGGTAAATTAAGCCCTGTGCAGGGATACATTTCTATACAGCGATGTGATAGAGACTTCCTCCTATAATTGACTGTGGGGAAAACTATGCAAGATAATTCAAATGTATTACATACTATTTTGGAGGGGGTGACTTGATTGGGTCTGACTCAGAAGTTAACAAAATCCTACGGGGGAATGCGAAAAAAGCTCGGTAATTGGCGGTATTGCGCGACGTGATATGCGTTTATTTTCACTGGTAAATAGGAACGGAAATAGGAGTTATATAAGTTAGAATTTTTAAAAAATTTATTTGTTTATCGTTCCGTTTCGAAGTTACACCCAAATTTAAAAAGGCTTTTCAGAGTGCTCTCAAGTACAAGTACAAAATGGTATATCTACAGTCGGTGACCAACATAACTCGAACCGACTTAACCGATTAGTCACTAATTTTCACACGAGCTTTTTAAATATGTGTTAGTAATTAGTCGAAGATTTTTTTCCGATACAATTTTTTTTTTGAGCATTTTAAGACCGAAATTTTGCTGATAAATACATTTTTTGTTTGAAAAACCGTAATTTTGTCAAAAAACTTTATTTAGCTTGCTCCTTCGGTTAATTTATAGATTAAATAATACTGAACGACATATTTTTAATTTTTTAATTTCGGAGGATCCAGTCCATAGTGATTACAGCAAAACGCTTTTTTTGAGAGGGGCTCCCGGAGATTAGCTGTAGTTCATTTCAAAATAAATATTTTTTTGCCAATACTTTCTCTTAAAATACAGTTAAAACAATACATAATATGTGTACAAAATATCACTTGATTAAATTTAAGTGTTTTCTACAAACAATTTTAAAAAATTCTTTTTTTAGGCCTTTTAACTGTATGTAACCCCTTAAGCTAAATAATCTAAGGTGCTCCAGAGCGGATTGGAGACTTGAGGTGAGAGTTGGAGCAGGAAAGCGAAGGTACAGTTGATGGAGACTTCCACACTATTCTGTTAGAAATGAATTGTTTACTTGGCGTGATCACGTTCATTTAGACTAATAATCGATGACAAAACGCAAAGCGCAGAGTAATATGGGCCTTCAGTCCTCAAAAACAATGTTTGCTTTACCATTGTATGTATATTGTTTTCCTTTTGCTTGTTCTCTTATGCTTGTACCGCAAGCTGTCATAAAATAAATGCTTTTCGAAAAAACTTTTTAAATGTCCATTCATATGAGTTTAGAAAAATTAACAAACCTAAAGCAACAATAAATTTGAAAAAATATTTTTTTATAAATATGTTAGATATATAAGGTATATATTAGAAAACTTTAATTTATTGACAGTTTTCTTGTTTCCTTTTTGTTTATCCTACACATTTTTTAAATTAAATAGTTAAAAATTAAAAAAAGATAAAAAGTTTATTTTGTTTTTCTTATTTCCAAAACTCCATTTTATTCACCTATTCTGTTAGTAATGATCAACCAAAACACCTCTAATCGAATTATAAAAAACGTGACGATGGCACACTTAAATAACAAAATATCAGAAAACAAATTTTGTGACAAAAACTCAACTAAAACAAGAAAGAAAGCTATTGCAGCTATTGCAAGAATTAAATACATTTGAAAACATTAAAATTATGATTTAATTGCGTATATGTTGAAAAGCATTGAAGCTATGATGATTTGCAGCTCAATTATTATATCGTTATTTTATATATTTTTATTATTTGTATGGGAACTATGTGATATAGTCGTCCGATTTTGATGAAATTTAAACCGTAATTCTGAAATAATTACCCAATACTTTATGTCGAAGATCTAAGGAAAAAAATTAAAAACAGCTAAGTTATAATTTTTCTTCATTTTTTTCCGATTGTTCCTATTAATACATTTTTAGAATGAAACTATTGAGGCGTCGTTTGTTATATAAAAATAAATATATTTAAGGATACCTAAATTCCTTTAAGACTCTTGAAAAAAAAACACTTGTATTAAAGATTTGTCTTGTTAGTCTTTGTATGTATTATAACATATACTGATTCTCTCTTGCTGAATTTAAAAACACAATCTTAGAGGAGTCGCACCTAATACTAATCAAAAATCAGAGCAAGTTTGCGGCAGCGAAAAATATTGTTAATCAAACAACTGACCAAAAGACGACAAATGATTTCCGCTGCTCACCGAACCACTTCCGCAGCATGAACATCATTTGCCTCAAACCACACCCAAAGTCACCGAAAGTCAAAAGGAAAGTTGTGGCACGGCATTGGCGCGTTTGAATTTAAAAATTCACTCCATACACATGAGGTCACGACCAAGAAAATTTAAATGACAAGCGACTAATGGGAATTGCCAACAGTTTCGCAGGGCAGGTGGTGCGAAAGTTTGCCACCTTTGGCCATCCCTTGCAACGAAAATCAGCTAACAACACAACAAATGGCTTCATTTATTTGCGTCTTTTGTGCGATGTAGAACGAAACTTCCTGCCACCAGGTGGAGAGACTAGGATGGCGAGCATCGAAGCCAGCTGAAGAATCCCCAGCAGGTGGGGATTGAGTTTTTCGTGGGTCTCTGGCTTGGATCCGGCACTCCCCAAAACCGAAAGTGTACAAAGTTTACTTTGAACACGTTGCCGCCTCCTCGAAGCAGAAAGAAACATAAACTATTTATATATAAGAGCAAGTTGCAGCTGCACTTTGCAGTGATTGAATGCCCAACGCCGACAACCGTTAATGTGCTTGGGGTTGTTGTTTTTTTTTTTTGTTTGAGATAAACTTTCAGCTGGCCGGATATACCAGGGGAAAGTCGCACTTTAAAGTTTTCACTTTCTGCAACGTACACTGAAAACATTTTTTTCTAAGACATAGAAAATCGTCTATGATTTCGATTAATGAAGATTTTGTCTATATGACAGAAAGAAAGTTTTTAAAATATATATATATATTAAACATACTCTTAATTATAGAAAAAAGAGTTTCTAAAAAAACCCTTAACCCTGGATTGAAAGCAGACTGGTACCCATTTTAATAATATATGATGTAATATATATTTTATATAATAATATATTTTTATAAGGCCACCCTCTTGAAACCGCTTTCTGTAATTGGAATGAAAATAAAAATGCTCTGTTTTCCTGTTCTATTTCCAAAAAGAAAAACAAAAGAGAACGCTATAGTCGAGTTTCCCGACTATTGATACCCGTAACTCAGCTAAACTTCAAACTAAGTATTCCCCCAACAAAACAATCGAAGTTAAGGTGGCGCCATCTGTCAAACTCCATAGCCAACTATAGAAGCAAAATGCGTGCAGCACTCGGATATTGATCCTGAATATATATACTTTATAGGGTCGGAAAATCTTCCTTCTACCTGTTACACACTTTTCAACGTTTACAATATAATCTTTAACTCAATATAGCTCTAAATATATTTTCCATAGAAACCGCAAATACTCGTTAAATTAAAATGTTTTTTATTTTGAGGAACTCATAACATTACATTTACTATTTCTTACGTAATTTGGCTTCTATCCTCAGATACTTGTTCGTAGCTTTGGATCGCTTTGGACCCAAGCTTTGACTTCTTTGAGCTCAAATCCAAGGTCATCATTTTCTTCATTTCCATCTCCTCCGCATTGACTTTCATGCAGATATCTATGAACAGGCATAGATCGAGGTTTTTCATCTTTTTGGCCAGATCGAAGGCCTCAGCAAGGATTTCCCTTTCCTGCTCAATCTTGCCCAGAATCGCATGGGCCTTGCATATTACTATTAGACTCAAGAAGCTCCAAACAAAACTATTGCATTTGACGGCCTCTGTGGGACATGAAGTGAAAATATTTAATTAGCTCTACAACTTTTTGACGTACCCTCCAAGGCCTTTCGGGCGATGGAACAGGCCACATCAAATGAATGATAATTCAGGTGCTCTTGGGCCAGTTCATGCAGAAGATAGGAGCGTTCTATGTGATACTCGGAAAACCTCATCCTTTTCTCCAGATGTGCTACTTGTTTCCTAAAAAAAATTAGCACACTTTTGTAGTTTATGGACTACTTATTTCATTTCATAAAAAATTAGTCTTAAAATAGATACCGCAGTACACCAGGGAAATGTTTTGACCTTGGATTCTGAAATTATTTATGGCTTAAGATGCGTTTTTTGGATGTTTTAGCTGCTTACAAACTTAATCTTGTAACCAGATAAACTCATGTCGCGGCAAGTTTCAAATTAAAATTTGTTTAATTATTATTCATTGGTTTTTATCTTAACTTTCCTTGTTTTTGGTTGTTTTTCTTGTTTTTCTAAATAAGCGGTTAAGCCCGTTATAAAAAATCTTTTAAACAGAAAAATCGTCATGAGAACACTTCTTTAGGGATCGTGTTTTAAGTTACAGACATGGAAGAGTGGCTTAGAGCGGTGCTTTATAATGGTAGCGGTCGTGAGTTCAAATATACTTTAGCTTTTCTATATGTGAATGAATAATGATGTGTTAATATTTAATAATTGTCTAGGAAATATTTATCATTGCATTAAGAAAATCTTGGTAGTTAAGACAGAAACACCTTAGTTTATCAGAAAAATGTTCTAAATTTAAGAAATAATTTTAATTTTCAAGTCCCTTGCCAAACGTTTAAGAAAATTATGTAATTTAAAAAAAAAAATCATTTTCTTAAATGAAAGGCGAGTCGCCCTGAAATGTACACATACTTGAATCTCTCCGCCTTGGGATCGGTAGCTACCGATCTGGCTATCAGGTTGGTCGGTTGCTTCGCCTTTGATTTTTTTAGTTCCTGACCATTTTTGAGCGGCAGCTTGAAAAGTGTTAAAAGGCGCTGTCTGCCCTGCAAGACGGTCATGTTGCTGGGGATTTTGTATTCATTAATGCGGGCTAGACCCAAATAGTTGTAGACCTCATTAGTGAATTCAAATTTCCACGGCATTACGCGATGTGTCTTGATGGTGACATAATCTCCCATGACCTCCTCAATAAATGTTGTCAGTTTCTGCGGAGTAATAAACAAACCGAGAAAAGAACGGTCATTTAAATTTGGTTTAGTGTAATAAATAAGCAATTAAAATTTTAAATAACCATAACCCACATTAAGTTCTCCAACTCGTATTAGCAGGCGAATGCTGCGCAAGATCTTGAACATATTTCGTCTTGTCTGGTACTGAATGCGATATAGGTTTTCCTCCTTCTGCTTGTTGTAAAGTCCCTCGTTGGGATACTTTTGACGGTGCAGGGCGTACATGGGGCATCGAGTGTGCAGCATTTTCTAAAAATGACAGGTAGTGGGAAACACAATTTAAAGGGGCTAATTAAAATGTCAAACTCAAACCGTCAGAGTTCGCTCCGCTTTATAATTGCCTGCCATCAATTTGCCCAAATACTCGGATGACTTTTGACAATGCTTGGGTTGCACATTGGGATCATTACGAAGTCTCTTGAGGAACGCCACATCCACCCAGCACTTGTTAAGGTACGACTGGTTATATATCTTAAAGTGCCTTTTTCGTCTAGCTAATTCCAGCGGGGACAGTGGCACTTCCTTAAATTGAAAATTTTATTGTGTATTGTTTAGATAATAGAGCCCTGAAAGAGTGGACTTGTTCTATCTTTATACACGTTACCCGCCGGGTAAAAGGGTATATTGTATTTGTTTAAAACTATGTAATTGGTAGAATATTATATATTACATTGGATCATTGTCGGATTAGTAACAAATTGCATAGAAAAGTGGTATATGCAATCCTATTAGCAAATTGAGTCCTTTTCTGCCTAGGAATACACGAAGCGTGGTTTAAATTACGGCTTAATACTGTTGATTTTGTTTATCTTACTATATATACAGAACTCACTAAGTGATCTGATTATATCCGTAGAAGTTGGATCCACTAGAGCTTTGTTCAAAACTTAATATATAGGATTCATAAGCCGTTCTGTTATGGACCGAATTAAGTAAACCATATGAGAAATTTATGAGCTAAGCCATTAAACTCAATTTCCATACAATAATTATAAAATAATTTTAAAATTCTTTAGATCAGTAATGGGCTGTTCTTTATTTAATAGTGTATTTTTCAACTAAGGACCTGATGGACTTTTAAACTCTGAAAAACTTGTATAATTTATACTTGGGCATAATTAATTTGTGGTGTAGTTATAAATGTGAAAAATACTTTCGCACTTATTGATTGTTATGGTTGCGTAAAAAAAAACTCAAGGTATAATAATTTTTGCCCCAGAAATGCGATAAATTCGGCAGTAGTGTTTTCCTTAGTATTTGATATTGAGTTTTTCGGGATCCAGTGATGTTAACTGATTCACTTCTTTGATTTGAAGCTCGCAGCTAAGTCTAAGCTCAAATCGTTCAGGGCTCTAATAAAATATATACAAAATTGGTTACCTCTTTTTCCATTATGCTAACAACATCGCATTCGTCTTTCAGCTCCTTGGGCTCCTTGGCCAAGCTCGCCTGCATCCGATTGATCAGGCGTTGAACCGACATCGTGGTATTATCCGACAATGTGTCACTGAAGTTCTCATTTAGCTGGAAAGAGAAAAATTAATGATCCTTATTAATGGCTTAACGATTTTAAATATTGATTTGATTATTTTAAACTAATTTGCCTTTGTCATGACCCTTTCACTGTATTATTACTTGGAAATAAAGTGTTTTATAACTGGATGACACTTACCACAGAAATCTGATCGACGACGGGCTCTTTATTAGCGGACTTAAAACGCCTTAGATGGCAATGCAAGTTTATCTTGGCATCCTCCAGACGATTTGACTCATACAGAGCGTCGCAGAGCTCCAGACTGACGTTGGTAGAGGTGACTGGTGGCCTAAGCCTCATCTGCAGATCTGCCCTTGAAAAAGAGACTTAGAAGAGATTTTACTTTTCACAATGGTGGACTGACCTTCTGCCTGGTAGCAATCCTTCAGAGCCTCCGGAGCCAAGCCCAGGGACCTTTTCAGCTGACTCCGAAGCATCAGGGATCTCGCCCTCAGAGGGCTCAGATCCTCGGCGTTATTAAAATAGCGAAGACCATTTGCGTATCGCTGTTGCCGAAAGAAGTAGAGAGCCCAGTCCGAATACAAGGAGCCCAAACGTTCCGGAGACCACGCAATAACCTCCCAAGGTTGCAGGTTCGGCTTCACTCCGGCGTTCGGAGCCTGAAGACTATCAGATGCACTCAATATGCTGGGCATTGTGATATCGTTAGAGTGTGTGGGGCCAACAAGTCGCAATCAAAAAAACAACAAAGTAAAAACAACAAATACAAAAGAAAGATGTGTTTTATGTAAGCCAATTTTTGTATTTCTGACATTTTGAAGTTAAGTTCTGAGGAAACCGTTTAATCAAAAATGTATTCCTTTACAAATCCGTTTCTACGCAAACTAGTCTCTTTCGAGCCGGATCGATCGACTATAACATGTAGCTCCCATAGGAAAAATCGGAAAAATAAATGAAAAAATTATAACTTTGCTGTTTTTTTTAGTTCTTCGACATAATGGTAATGGTTTAATATTTTAGAATTACGGGTTAAGTTCATCAAAATCAAACGACTATAATTTTATTAGACTTTTTGACAGTTCAGAGCTCCGTTTTTAATTTTATTCAAATCGGAAAACGATATCATATAGCTGCCAAAGGAACTATCAAATAATTGTGCTGCAAATCATCTTCATCAGCTTTAATGTTTTTAAACATATACACAAGTAAATCATAATTTTAATGCTTTGAAGAATATTTTAATTTTGCAATAGCTGCAAGGGTATATGAACTTCGGCTTGCCGAAGTTTGCGTAGAAACGGACGGACAGACGGACATGGCTAGATTGACTCTCCTGATGCTGATCGAGAATATATATACTTTAGAGGGTCGGAAAGGTTTCCTTCACTGCGTTGCAAACTTCTGAATGAAACTGTATACCCTTTGCAGTACAAAGAACAATACATTATGTCGAAGAATCATAAAATAAGTATTATACCCTTGAAGGGAGTATTATAATTTTAATGAAAAGTTTACAACGCGGTTTAAGCGACATTTCCGAAACTATAAAGTATATATACTCTTTTTTTTACTAATTGTTATGACAAAGTTATCCGATTCCGATTGCTCCGACTTATATACTTATAATATATATATATATATATATACAACCTGCAATAGAAGGACAAAAATACAAAAAGAGCAAAGTATTATATATATTTTAAAGGCTCCTCAGTCTCGACGAATGTATGCAGAATAACTGAATTGCAAGTCAAGTAAAGTTTATTGAAAACATCAAAAGGTATATTAAACCCTTTACGGCAGCAACAAAACCAATTGCACAAAATGGGCAAACAGTTTATCGAAGCAGGCTTCTTTTGTTTAAGGCCTACTGAAACATTGATGATTTACGTATGGAGAATCTTCCAATCACCGAATAGCTTAATCGGTTTACGTCGTCGTGGAGTTGATTTTGGAGTGCATATTGTTAAACCTCTTTGGTGACATGTTCGAGTGCTGAATTATAAATTAAAATCCCAACAGCAAAGCGGTCTCAGGGCGGAGTGTTTGATGTTCAAATGGGTGGAGACTGAAACTGACAATGGAATTGTTCTGTGTTTTGTGCTCCGTGTGTGCTTTCCACCAAAATGGCTGGCAGCCCACACAGCCCCGCAACCAAAAGCAACAACTAAGAGAGCTACAAACTGCATTCGGCGTGGCCAAAGGGGCGTATACGTTATGTGGATTGACGTGAGGCGAGTGGCAGCGAAGCAACAACGCCCGTGCATTGACAAATGAGCACAAATCGCACTGCCGGTTCGTCGCTGTTTCTATATCCCTGATTCTCTATCCCCTTTCTGTGCTTTTCCGCTTTTTGTGTGTCAACGGAATCGAGTGCAAAGGGAAATGGCAGCGCATTTGCATTAAACTCGCTTTGATTGGGTTCCCAGCAGGGATTTAGGACACTTTTAGTGAGCTTGCATCCGTCTGATCTTGCCTGTCGTGTGGTGAGATCCTGTCCAATTGGGATTCAGCAGTACTTAGCGATTCAGGTTTAATTTAACGGGCTGAACTCTGAGAGACTTAGTTGCAAAATGGACTACTATATTTAATCAATTCGACCGAAACTGTATTCTTTTTTCATAAACATAAACAATACAGTTCTTTTAATGGAATTGATTGATATTTATGGCAAATTATTTATAAAGTCAAAACTAACGTCAGGAAATCTTGGCATAAAAGGTATTATGAAGAACCAGACTAGAAGTAGAAATAAACATATATATGCTTATATGCCAAACGCGAGTTATGCAATCTGGGATGTTTCGAATTGAGAAAACTTTTGGCACGCTAATCGTGAAAAGCTAATAAGGGTTGACCAAAACACACAGTTCAATTCCGGATTTCTCTTTTAATAATTTTTCTTGAACGCGACAAAGGTTCCTCGGTTCGGTTTCGGTTTTCACTAGAGAAACTTACTTGTTTACTTGTTAATTTGATTTGGAAATGCAGTGCATGTTCGATAATTTTTTCTGGAGTCAATACGCAATAGTACGATTTTTAAACCTCAGGTGAGAATTGTATGGAATACTGGTTTATCAATTTAAATCGACAAAATCATCCAGAGATAAAACCTCAATTTTGGGGTCAAAACTTAGCTCTTAAAAAAATACACACCTAAAAACCGAAAACGATTATATAGCTTTATCTTGAAGAAGAAACATTTACAAAGCCAACAAGCCTTTAAATTCAACTTAGAAAAACGGAAATTTTTAGGAGGCTGACTTTTGTAAAGCTTATGCTGATACTCATATCCAGATGCTAACGAAGACAACAGTCAGAAAAATCCGTACAAAATCGATTTACCGGCAGATTGTTGAGTTTAATAGATATAGAAATTCGCCTCTGATTTGGATTTATGGTCAATTTTGTCTATATGACAGAAAGAAAGTTTTTAAAATATAAGGCGACATTTTTCTAAAACATAAAAATTATTTTCTATATTTTAGAAAAAAGAGTTTCTAAAAAATACCCTTAAGCCTGTGTGGAAAGCGGGCTGGTACCTATTGGTTATTTCGGTTGTAATATGTTTCGGTTTCGGTTTCGGCAAAGAAATAATTATTTTGTTTCCGGTTTCGGTTTCTGTTACGGTTTTGATAAGGTAATACCGGCTAAGAATAACGGTTACGAATCAAAACTTTGAGATCCAGACCTGATAGTCTTACGAGGTCCATTACCGCAAGCCCAGCTCAGCGCGAAAAAGGAAAAATGTTTTCTTAACTTTTTGCTCAACTTGGTAGCATTAGAGGGGTGTGTAGTAGTGGGTAGTGCGATGGTAAAGCAAAGTTGAGTAAACCGGGCTCTTATCCAATTAAGTCATAACTCAATATGTGCTGAGAGATATGCACTTGGCCATTACTTAGGCAAAAGGCAAAAATTTGCTCTAATAACTTTTGAGTTTGCGCTTTCTTCCGTCTTCTTTGCCGCCGCTTGCCAGGAAGATAATTTTCACACCAGAGCCATGTAATTTGCCCTTCTGGGGCGAAGTTTTCGGGAAGCAGATTTCAGTTTATGCAGAGCAACAGCTTCGCAGCCCCATTGCCGCCCCATCCCCGGGCTCCAGCTCCCTTTTCCCCTTTATGGCACCAGCGAGACGTTGCCACAACTCATTTGGCATTGACCAGGATTGGACGTTGCCGCAGTCCTCCGTGACTGGATCTACTGGCACTGGCACTGGCACTGGGCTGCAGGGTCCGGGCACCGACTATGCAAGCCACCCTTCCCCATCTGAATCCCCCAGCCAGCGGCTTCATCCACATCCGTATCCCTCATCCATCTGCCGTTGAGGGCGCGCGCGCATAAATTATTCATTTGTAATGTGCAGCATCTCTGGCCCTCGGTCATGCACTGAGTAAAAGCCTGTATCGGTTCCAAATCAAAATTAAATCAAGGCGTAATATTAAAATCATTTTTAATGGCACTTAATTTAATTTCATTTAGTTAATAATAATTGTTTTTTTGCTTTGTTGTTTAAGTTTACGATTTTCATTCGACAAAAATGTCACCAATTCAAATTTTCCATTTGCAATAAGGTTATTGGTGAAACTCAAGAGTCACTTCTTAAATTTCAGCATAAAACCCGAGAACGGTTTTGTTACTTTCTTAATCAGAGAATCTTATTCCTCCAACTATGCCAAAAGAAAATGCAATGTCCGCAAAGCGATAATCACAATCATAAATTGAGTTTTAATATATGGCCTATCAATGTAGGTTGGTTGATTATTTTTTTATAATTATTATTTTTTTAGTATCCTAAAAACACCAATTCATAAAAAGCTATGGGGTGTTCTTACTGACTTAAGGATTTCTGAAGGAAATCGAACACTTTCTTCACGGCAAGTGTTTTCTCTCTGTGCAGACTCAGTCCCAGGACCTGGTGTCTGGAGCCTCGGCCCGAAGTTCTGTGTGCACTTTTGGCACAGGATATGACACTGACACTCAGCGCCGGCGCTCGTCCTGCGTCAACAACTTCCTTGGCTGCTGCTGGCGTTTACTTTGGTTTGTAATTTCCTTCTGGAACTGGGGCCGTGGCTAAAAGAAACACAGCAAGAAATGGCACAGAAACCCCAAGAAGTGCACGGGAACATGACGATTGCAGCTGGACTAGCTGGGGCTTCAAGATCCGCGCCCCGGATTCCCTGGGTCCGCATCCCCGTCCTTTTCTGGTTTACCGCCTTCCACCAGGGAACTACTGCTGCTGCAGCAACTGAAAACTTAAAGTTTGCTCTCCTTTTTGTGTGTGTCAAAAGTTTCATTTGCGAATTGAAAAATTATTTCCAGTTGCATATATGCAGAGTGTGTCATTTACAGGAGGGTCGGACTGAAACTCTGAACTCTGGCAGCGAAGCGAGCAGCCCAGCTCATTGACAAAATAGAAAGTTGTTGACTCGGTTTCCTTTCCAGCTCCCGAGCATAAGTTTTGAGCCAGGACCAGTGGCAGGCGGCACTTTTAATTACACGCACACACACGGCCCGGTTTAAATTTAATACTTTGTCTGTCTTGATCTTTCTAAGCCATAAACAGTGGCGAAGCCCCACACGGGGCACATTAATTAATTAAAAACGCAATGGTAAAGCCTAATGGAGTGAGGTTTGGGGCTTTGGTAAAACGACTAAGCGGCAAAATGAATAGGTAGCTCAAGCATGCAATCCTGTCCTGCTTAAATTGTGTCACCAAGGCAAAAGTTAATTTCCGAAGAACAAACTCTGGAGTAAGATAATTTAATAATAAGAATTTATTTTAATTAAATTGGTCAAATGCAGTTATGAAAC